CGTATGATCAATTGTGGTTTAATTTCATATTTCGTAGTGGAGAAAGTATCCACTAGAAATGTGTTAATTACCTCTGTCTTTGAGTATTTGTCTAATTTTAACTTATTGTGATCAATTATTTCAGCTTTTGACCTATAATTAAATAAAACATATATTGTATATTAATTAAATAAAATAACATTTTGAAAATATTTGATATAATAAATCTAATAAAATTATTTTGTATCAATATCTAATATCATTTTTATTTAATTTAAAGTCAAAGTTTACCAATTTTGACCAAAAAAGTCAAGAGTGGACAAATACTTGGACAGTGAGGGGGTACAATTTTTTATTTTTATTTTTTCAGGAAAAAAACAATGTCCGGAAAAAAATAGTTTAAACTTTTAAAAATAAATTTTCATATTTGAACTTTTTAGCTAATAATGGCGTAATCTACTCAGATATCATTTAAGAGTAATAACTCTCCATAAAGTGTAGTCAAATAGTAACTCATTTCCACGTAGATATAAGCTAATTAAGCTCAACCGAAAACCAACAAAATCCGAGATAATTAAATGAAACAATGGTTTCGGATAATCGATCAACCACAAATCATAAAAAGCATTTATGGATTTAGGCGATTGAAATACGGAGTAATAATTACTCCGTAAAATATAATGCTTTGGTTTATAGTGGAGTCTATAATTGTGGAGAAATAATATTAAATTATGAGTTTTACAATATTAAATTCATATACTTTGGGTTTAAAGTGGTGTTATGTCCAAAAAAATTATAATGGTGGACCTATTAATATTCTTGTAGTGTAATACAAATAGTATATGGTTGATTGAAATATTGAATGAGCCCAATCCTAATCCCCATCCTACCACTAACACCATTTGGAGTTAAAGAGATATTTATTTTCTTTAGGTGTTTTTAATTGAAGATTATACCTTTTATATATAATAGATCAAGATTTAAGTGAATATAAATTGTTCTTTTATTCCCAAACTTTCGTTTTAGAAACATTCCAATGTTAACTTCAATTTAAACGCAATACTTTTTCCATCCAAAAATGAATGTAATATCAAAATTTTCATGTTTAACAATGCATAAAACAAACCATTTTATTAATATATCAATTTATACTTTGGTAAAAATTATAAAAAGTTGGTATTGAAAAAATATATGTCAAAATGAATCCGACAAATTAAAATCTCAAATGTCTGCATTTTATTTTATGTATAAATCACAAAAGCTAATTATTTATTTCACAAAAAAAGTATTCCTTCCATCCAAAAGTGTTTGCTCAGATTATTTTTTTTAAATAAACCCTACAAATCTTAATTTTCATTTATATTAATTTGAAATTAATATTAGTACAATAAAATAAACTAGAAAATTTTCCATCAAATCATTTTTACGAATATAATATTATACAATTTTTATTTAGTTGATAATTAATGTTTGTCTAATTTAACTTAACAAAGATCGGATAGGATTAATACTCTAGGTAGAAATTATAAAATTCCCACTATTTCTCCTCAATCATCCGCGCCAAATTTTATCACATTCTCCGATTTTTTAGTTTTTTAAATTAATATGAAAAACAAATCAAAACTAATTTTAGCATTTGTCTAAGAGTAATGTTTCTAATTAGCGTTTAAATTTAAATTCTGATATATCGTTGGTTATTAAAAACTTTTGTAGGCTTTTGGTGGAAACATAAATAAAATTTGGATTTGACAATCTAGAGTCTTGATATCTCATTAACCGTCTGCCATTGCCTCAAGCAATCCATGTTTGTACCCCAGCCTAGAAGTTGGCAATCGGGTTAACCGGATTGATTTCGAATTAGATTTTTTTTTGTTCAGATATCTTCCGGATATATGTTTTAATCGATGTTGTTTGGTTCGGATCTTATTCGGTTCTATACATTTTTCGGTTTAGTTTCGAGTCGGTTCAGATACGGTGATACAATCGGTTCCGATAGATTTCGGTTCAGATACAATTTGGATCAGATATATTTCACTTTCGGATCTATATTTCCATCAAATATATTTTGGATATATATTATTTTATAATTAAAATTTAATTATCCATGTTTTTTATGTTTTATCACATTTGTCAATCTATCATCAATATAATTCAGCACCTTATATTATTTTATATTTTTAATTATACTATCTCCACCCTAAAAAATCTTCATTTTTTGACTTTTTAGTCATATTTTACAAATTTAGACTACAACATATGAAAAAATATATATTCAATTATGATATAAATTTAATATAATTAAATTGATTTTAAAATTTAGTTTTGATATATCAAAATTTCTCACTTCTACTAATATATTTATGTTTATAAATGCAAAGATAAAAGATAAATTCAGATAGTGTTACACTCTTATTGAATGCAATTTAAGAAAATTGAGTGAAATTAAGTGAGTTCTATTCAATTGAGTGCAAAAATAATAAATTATTTGAGTGTATTTGATTGAAATTAGATAAAATTAAATTAAATAGAGTCAAATATAATTAATTTATACTTAAATTTAATGGTGTAGATCAAATTTGAAATGTATAACATTAAACACTGTCGCTAGAGAGCCTTTTTCAAAACACTAACATCTAACGTTATTGACTAATATTGAGTAATTGGTTTGAACCTCATCAAGTTAACTCCCAACTCAATAAAATTGATTGTAATTGGATGAAATTAGGATAAAATCTAGTTTTTCATACAATTCATCATATAATCCCTTTGTCCCAAAAAGAATATCACACTTCACTATTTAAAAATTACGAAAATTTTATTTATTTGTGCGTTATCATTGATTATTCGATAAAATAAATTATTATTCTTGTAACCTCTTATTTTGTAAAATTGTTGACCTTTTTTTAAATATGTAAACATTGTTTATTTCTATATCAATCTTTAAATAAATAAATTTTAAAAACTTAAAATTTTGCTTTGGTTTGCGTTATGTAGCATTCTTTCTGGGATGGAGGGAGTTTTTTCTTCAAAATAAGATTATTTTAGTTAGATTTTGTAACTTAAAACTGAAATTAGTACCATACTTTTAATATAATATCTATTCAAAAACTTAATTTTTCATGTCTAATCTTCCCCCCTAAAGCTCAAAGTTTCCCCCATTCTTTTTCACTTCCCCTCAATCTTATCACTTTTCTTACGCCACCATTCAACCAATTTCTCAATTCACACTCCCCTTCGATATAATATGCTTGTTGAAAGGCAAACAAAGTTTCAGATTTTATCGATTTTAGTTCTAATCGGGTTTGGATATTATTGGTTTCAAATCTATTCAGTTTCGGGTTTTTTTTAATTTTGGGTATTATCGGTTTCGAATCTAATCAATTTCGGATTTAATCAGTCCAGATATGATCGTTTCAGATCTGATCAGTTTTGCGCGGATTTAAATCGAATATCAATTATTTAGTTCGGTTTCGATTCGATTTGAATCTTTTCGGGTTTTTCGGTTATAGATAGGACCTTCATTTTTCAGATCATTTAAATTTCGGATTTGGATAATTCGATTTGGGTAATCGACTGTGGTTATGTTTTGTCAGGTTTACCGGCCCAGCCCACCACCCATTGTCGTCATCCACTCGTCGTTAGCCACCCTCTATCGCCGCCCAACTATTTCAAATCTTCCCAAATCTTTTTATTTAATATTTCAGAGTTCATATTATTCTTTAATATTACAAAACAAATATCATATGACTCTTTTATGAGCATGTTCTCTTTGTCTGATTTTATTAAGCTCTAATCTAATTTGGTTTGAACAATTCAATAATATTAAGTAATAAAGATTAAGTAAGTACATAATAAGAGCAACAAGAATAAGTAGAACAAGGGAGTCATAGGGGTTTTTTCTCTGTGCTAGTTCTTATTATTGGCTTAATGTACTGATGATAAACATTTTTCATCTTATAAGCTGCTTAGCTTATAAATCAAATATTCTTTTATGGAAGTAAAATAACATAAATGATAGATAAGTCATTTATAAATGTTCATAAATGGTGAGGGACAATTTTGTAAATAATCTAATCAAAACAGAGAAACGGAAAAACTAGTTTTAAAATAAGTAGCTAAGACCTACTTATTTTTCTATTTAATTCATCTGGCTTATAAGTAGCTTATAAGTCAATTTATAAACACGTGAAAATATGTCATTAGATGACTTATAAGTTAAAAACTATTTATGAGCAATTTTGACCAACTTATAAGCAGAGAGAAATATGGGTGAGCAAGTACTGAACCAATCCCGAAATCTCCTAAAAAACTGAGATTACTGAACTGATAAAATACCTAAAAAGAACCATACCGTACCGAACCAAATGGTTGATCCGGTATTTGGGATCGGTACGAGGTAACCTCCCATACCGAAAAATGCCGAACCGAACATATATACATACAATGATACAAGTGTGTTATAAAAATAACAATGTTTTTATATTTCTTCATTAAAAAATTAATTTATTTTGAAAAGTTGGTTCAGGTTTAGATGAATTGCAAATAATCCTTTATTTATATAATCATTTTTTGAATTTTAATTTTTTTTGTAGATGAATATAAAGAAATTAAGGAACATATGAAATGCTATTTTATTACGGAGTATCATTCTTTCTCTTTTGTTTGTGAAATAGAAGTATAAATTAAACTAAGTTTTATTAGTATTTTTCATCTAATTATTCATTTTTCAATTGTTTATCTTTCTTTATATGAAAAAACTTTTGTTTTTCTTAAAATAAAATGTTTTATATATTTCAAAGTATAAACTTGGTATGTGTATGTGTGTGTGTGTGTGTGTGTGTGTGTGTGTGTGTGTATATATATATATATTTGTCCTAAGCTAATTCTTACCGAAACCAAAACCGAACAATCCCAAATCTTACCAAACCGATATTTCGAGATCAGTACGACGTAAATTCCTTACTGAATCAAAATATTTGATACGGTATTATAAATGAAATACCGAATATCGATACGAACCAAATACCCAGTATGAAAAATGTTATCTTTAAAAATATCATCGGAGAATAGTAGAGAGTGTATATTTGCAACACTTAACCACAAGGGGCCCACCTTTACGCTCTTGTCTCTCTATAAATGCCACCAACGGCGAGACCTCATTTCCTCACTTCTCACATCCTCCTCCTCTTCTTCGTCTATATCTTTCCTCCTCCACTCTCCCTCTATCCTTAATTTTATTATTTTTATCTTTAAATTATCTCTACTCTAAATAATTAATTCCATAAAGTAGATATATATATTTATTTTTGAAATTAATAATTAAAAAAATCAGCGCAATCATGCTTTCCAGGGACACTAGCCGTACCGTCGTCGGTATCATCGGTGAGTTTACTGATTCATATTTCCGGCCGGCGGCGCTGCGTCTGTGTATAAACCGCACTAATGGATATTTATTTTAATTTTTATTTTGAATTTCAGGTAACGTGATTGCGATCATCCTCTTCTTGTCACCCATGTGAGCTTCATTTTCCCTACCTAAAAGTTGGCTTCGGCCGGCTAAAAGTTTCTCCACAACTCCATTACCTTTTTTTTCAAAACAAAAAAGTGAGGTTAATTTTGTACTTCCTCTGTCTCGTAAAACTTTTCAATTTTCACGTAGTGCTTGTTCTATAAAATATTTTAATTTTAGCTAAATAGACACAATCGTCTTTACTTTTTTCTTAAATATAACCAGACATACCTCAATTATCTTCTACGTTCTATCTATTTTGATATTTTCCGAGTCTTACCCGTTTTAACTATTGTCGTTTCATTTTGGTCAAACTTCTAGACTTTCTCATTGCAAAAGTCAAATCACGAAATGTTTGTGGGACGGAGGAAGTATTATATATATATATATATATTTGAACATCAGTGTTTGTGTTTTAAAAACACTATGATGTTAATGTTGTAAATTATTCGACCGGTATATCATTCTTAGCCGGGCAAGAACGATAAATTCATTTCTCGTCATTTTGTCAGATGTCAAATTTAAGATTCTTTTAATATAGATTTTTTGGATAATGTCAGAGACAACAGTGCATCATTTTCTCACCGACATCCAGAGATATTAAAAAAAATACCTGATTGTTATGAAAAATTTGAAATAAAAAGTGAAGTGGCACGAAAATGATCATCATTTTTTATCTGGATCATCCTTACACATGCATTAATTACTTCATACGTCCAGTTCATATTTGTCTGACGTTTAGTAAAATTAGACTAAATGTCAGAAAATTTGAATTGGACTAATGTGATTTTTTTTCGGAAAGACGTGGTCTAAGACACCGACCGACTGCTGCCGTGTTTGGCAAATGACAATATTGTCTCAAAGCTCAATCCGTGAAATTTGTCGGTTGCCAAAACATTGCCTTGAAAAGTGTTCTCACCCTCGTTTTTAGAATTGTTTCGAATTTGTGTTTATCCTTCTTAATCTAGAAATGTTTTCCTATTAAAATATTATTATCTCCCCCATCCATCATTTGTTTTCTTTTCACCACCATTTCCTCAATTTCTTGTTGGGACCAATTAGGCATTGTGTGTTGTAGAGTACGTTTTTATCAAACATTAATTTAATAATTTTCGGCCAAATTAGTTCTAATGAAATTCTACCTCCATCTCACTCAGAATATTTGTTCAGTTTTAACGTTTTGCTGTCAAAACATAATGACTTTCTCAATATAGGACCATATGTTTTTATTTCCCAATGTAGGACCATTGGTCATTATCCATTAGTCATTATTCAACTAAATGTCCAGTATCACTTGGACATTATTCTTCTCACTAGTCATTATTAAGTCCTATTTAGGGAATAAAAAAGTTTAAGTCTTACATTGTGAAATGACTTATTGTGTTGTTGGTGGGGGCATGCAGGCCAACATTCGTGACGATATGGAAGAAGAAGTCGGTGGAGCAGTTCTCGGCGGTGCCGTACCTGGCGACGTTCGTGAACTGCGCGCTGTGGGTGCTGTACGGGCTGCCGATGGTGCACCCCCACAGCCAGCTGGTGGTGACCACCAACGGCGTCGGCCTGGCCATCGAGACCGTCTACCTCCTCCTCTTCCTCGCCTTCTCCGACTCCAAGAAGCGCCTCAGGCTGCTCCTCATCATCGCCGCCGAGGTCGTCTTCGTCGCCGCCCTCTCCGCCCTCGTCCTCACCCTGGCCCACAACTGGAAGCTCCGGTCCGCCATTGTTGGCAGCATCTGCATGGCTGGTAACATCATGATGTACGCTTCCCCCTTGGCCGTCATGGTACGTACGTATAGCTAGTATACTAATTAATTACAACTCGCTCGCTCCCTTTATCTTATCCATATATATATATATCCTTCTAATTTATTTACTCTGTCCATTTAGCGATCTAGATAACATTTTGACCATTAATATACAGAGTATATATTTATATAGGATTACCTACCAACTACTTTTTTTTCTAAAAGATTGTAAAAGTTTAAATTTTTTTGGCACACTGTAGCACCATTTGACAATAAATTAAATATACTTAAGAATATATAAATATTATAAAAATTTTATTTTTGAAAATTATATTTTAAATATATGTAATTTTACTAAATTTACATTCTAACTAAATATACTTTTTTCATAATTCAAGATCAGGATTCTATAATTTAATTAAAAAAATTAAATTGTGGCAATCTTGGAAGAAGGAGTAGTAAAATATTACTCCATTCTTTTTTTCACCAATGATATTACTTTTCGTGCCCGGAAATAAAATGTCACACTGTGAGTACAATAGACACTTGAGATCTTAATATTTCTGTAGAACAGTAGCATTAAATATGTGATTAGACATTAGTGCAGTTATTATTATTCGTTACAAAGATCTGAAGTGTCTATTATTATTATTACTAGGCATTAAATTTAAGAACCAAAATACCAGTCTATAAATATATATGTGGTCCAACAATATATTGTACAAATCTCAATTTAATTGGTTCAGTGGTTCGCAGTACTGTACCTAACCGGTTCGCTCCGTCCTTTTATTTTTATCACCAATAATTTTGTAATTAGTTGTTTCTTTTTTACATTATTGTAAAAAAAAATAGAGTTTATTGAAAAAATAATTGGAGTTTTTGGTATAAATTGAAATTTGAATTATGTTCGCGTTCGAGTTTATCTTCATTTTTTTAAATGGTGTCTTCAAATTTTTTTATATAAAAAAAACTCAATAAGGATAGAGACCACCGTTACATGGTATCGGTGGAGGGCAGGTAGCTTATACATGCAAGGGTACGTTTTTTCGGACACGTGTTTTGTGACAATCAACCTTATACGTATGTAATCCTTATTTAACACGGATTGTCTACTACTAGTACAATCAAATACATTTTTAATAATACTTTTTCATATGATAATCATATCAGATTATTTTTTAATTGATGATCAAATTTGTCTTGTTTCTCTTAATTAGAGAAATCAAACTGAACAGATACTCTGATTCGCAAAAATGGTACCAAACCATTTAAGACGGTGTCACTTGTCAAATATGAACGTTACCAACTTCTCTTAAAATAATTGTTTATGGAGTTTTTTTTTGTAAATTTACGGAATTTAGAAAAACATATTAAAAAGTAAAAATGGTACATATGTTGAAATTTATTTAGAAAAAAGAAATCTTGTAAGTGCAATTTCTTTTGTTAGGATTGAAAAATAAGAAATTATAAATTACTTCCTCCGTCCCATTTTATAACGCCTGTTTCGGTTTACGATGTTTGACTGAAATTATTTTCAAATCATTTTATATGACAAATGGTATATAGTTAAAAAATAAAAATTACATATTAAAATACTACATCAAAAGATCTACAAAACTAGTAGTGACAATAGTACTTTATTTTATCAAATTGGTAATGAAAATTGAGAAAGAAAGTGAATGAAGTTTGACCCTGTGAATAGTGAACAGACATTATAATTTGGGACGGAGAGAGTACTACGTACTAACTACTAAATTTCATTATTCTGCGACATACTACCTCCATCCGGAAAAACCTTTCTGGTTTTAATTTTTTTGTCAAACGGTGACACATTTTGATCACAAAAGGTGGAAAAAATATATTCAATTTTAATGTAGATTCAATATAATTGGGTTCATCTTAGGATATAGTTTTAAAATATTGAGTTTTTGTAACATTATTTATTTATTAAAATTATGTTTAATTTATGGTCAAAAAAATGTCACTGTTTGACCTTAAAAAAATCAAAAGCGGAAAAAGTTTTCCGGGACGGAGGCAGTATTAAAAAAAAAGAAATTAAAGGTGTAAGCACTATTTATTACTCCCCAACTTTAAATTAATCAATGAACCCATGTCATGCAATTAAAATCATTGGGTGGTAGATAGTAGGTGCAGCGGACATGAATGAAATGAAATGAATGTGTGAGTGGGTTTAATTTTGAGATGCAGAAATTGGTGATCACGACAAAGAGCGTGGAGTACATGCCATTTTTCCTTTCCCTCTTCTCCTTCCTCAACGCCATTAGCTGGACTTCCTACGCCTTCATCCGCATTGACCCTTACATTCTGGTAATATCATCGACTTTGCGTTAGGGTAACCCCACATATTTTGTGTGTGCCTGTACAAAATATGGGATCATGGTGAGCCCAAAACGTTTGGGTTACCCTAGCTTTATTCTTCTTGTATATTTATTACTTCTTCACTTCAATTCCCCTCCTACTATATCTAAATAAGTCCATATATATTATGGAGTGTGATTATTTTTATTTAAAAAGTATATGAAACGTTCTACAAAACAAGAAGTGACAAAAAAATTTATTCTAGCGAAAAATCATAAAAACGTAAAAAATAAAAATTAATACTTGAATGAAAAGTTAATAAACGTGTATAAATATTATGTCTGCTTCTATTTATATCTTAATGTAGGTAGAAAATTTTTATCAAACGTTATTTAAAACTAGTGGGTATTGAATATTTTTTTTTTTGTAATATGAAATCCCCCGAACAAAAGGTGCTTTCTGTACTCTAATAGATGTGTTGGAACTTTTTAAGATAATGAATTTTTTTAGAAAAGAAAAAAAAAGTGAAATTTTTATTGGATGAGAGGAAGGAAGTACTCCGTACGAACATTTTAAGTTTTTTCATTTACTGGGAGAAAGCCAAAATAAATTATTGGGAGCAATTTTGGGAGTGCCCGTGATTCATTGAATAATACCTCTATAATGAGAAGCAGACAAATATTGTACTGCAAAAGATTCACTGTGTTTGTTGTCCACCTTTTTACTTGCCAATTCTACCCTTCATCCAGATGTACTTATTTTTTTTAACATTCGAATAATAGGTTTTTCTTCACAATTTTTTTTTCAAGATTTCATTTTTATTCTATGGTTTATAAATAGGACTAGGAAAAAGTATCTTTTAATAACAAAATGGACATTGTAATCATTAAATGTGCATGCATCGATTCCATAGTTTACAATTTTACATGTTAAAAATTTCCTTACAAAACATTTTAACTTTCTCATCTTACTCGTTTCATAAAATATTTCAATTTCTCTCAAATGGACTACAATACCTCTCTTTAACCCTACTCTCACATCACATCCATCACATCTCATATTACTTTTTAGTTTTTAATTATTCTTTCACATTATTAATCACTATTCATGATTTGAAACATCTTTTTTTTCAAAAAAAAAAAAACTAGGGATAAAATTGAAAAGTCAAACACAAAAATACTTCCTTTTAAAAATTAAAAAGTCAAATTCGCAAATGTTTTTCGGGACGGAGGGAGTATGAATATTCTATTTTACTCTAGCATGTATTTAAATTTACAAATAAACAAGACATGATGGGCCATTATGATGGGCTTTCAGGCACCAAATGGAATGGGGGCAGTGCTTGGGCTGGCCCAGTTGATCCTGTATGCCATGTTCTACAAGTCTACAAAGAGGATAATCGCAGCTCGAGAGGCGGCCAAAGGAGAAGTTGGGCTGACCCAAAAGGGAGCCTCTGCAGACACCACCAAAGCAATCCCATAATGAGCCTTTGAAGTGTTCGGCCCATATGTTTACTTATTTCTATTTTCGTTTTGCCGCCATTGTGGTAGTAAGAACTAAGAAGGCATTATATCTTTTTAAAATGAAATGAAAAATTGCAGGCAGGTAAGGAACTGTCTATTCCTTTCTCTCATTTTATCTAAAAAAAAGACATGGTATAATGTCCCTTACCATGCCTACAACTTTCTCTCTACTTTTACACAAATGCGCAGACAATAATAATAATAGGCATAGACAATGAATAGTACAATTGTCTTCGTGTCGGTTTTAAAATTCGAGCAAAATTGAAGGCATTGGTAGGGACATTATATCACAGAGTAATTTGTTTTATCTAGACTCGAATGGATTTTGACTCAAATGGATGGCTTGAAACGGCGCCCGTGTTGATCATTGATCCAAAGTGAATTCAAACTCAAAAATGTCCCGAATCGAATTGAGTCTTAAAAGTATTTCAAAGTCGAATATTGTTTGTGAATAACTGACAATATTCACAAGCAATGATTTGAGGGTGGCCGCAGATAATGTTTACAATCTCATCACCTATTGTCGTCCTATAATTGACGTCATAAATATTGTCATTTCATATGCACCTTAAGTAGGTTTGGGTAACTCAATAAACAAACGTGAAGATGTTCCATGCTACAAAAATCTATAACAAAAATGGCACTAGATATCAAGAAAGTCAAAAGTCACAAAAGACATCCTTGAAAAATCAAGAGGTAATACTACTATATAACGAGAGTACACGTGTCATGGCGGAATGAAGATGTTCAAAAAGGTGGGAAGAACAAATTAGAGTTCTACTCAATTTTTTTTTTTTTTAAAAAACAGAAATGTGGAGGGTTTCAAGTACTCCGTATTTGATTGCAAGAAAATATATAGAGTGAGGTACACTAAAAAGGGACACTCACACCAGACAAACATAGACACTAACTATCTGTGTTTTCAAGGATGATGACCAAGAGCTCTAATTACACTATTCAGTACTAAATTACCACATCACACATTCTAAATTACCACATCATATTTTTCTTTTCATTTGACTTTTCACGGTATATCTAACGCGACACTTAGATCATTAATATCTATATTTATATGTAAATATAGATTACAAGAATCTGGAGTATAATACTTCAAAACTACGTTTCAAAATAAATCTATTGATATTAAATTTATGTCACAATTCAATATTTTTTCTAAAACTTGCATCAAAGTTTAAAACGTTGACTACAAAAGTCAAAATGAGAAGAGAGATTTGGGGTGGAGGGAGTAGTCTATATTCATCCAAAATAAGATCCTCATTGGAATTGACATTATTATTACGAAAGATGAAGAAACTTGTACATAAAAAGAAAAAAGAAAAATTATGTGACCCACACATTCTATCATTAAAAGAAAAGTGCAACCTTATTCGGAACAAACCAGAATGAAAATGTGAAACTTTTTTGTGGGAGAGGCACCGAGGTGACATAGTGGGAGGAGACACTAACATTAACAACGACAGCAACCTAGTCCACGGAGTTCAAAATAGGGGGGGAAATTTTGCGGGGGAAACAACAATGCACGTTGTGAAGATGGCTTCGAGGTCTACATATAGTACACTTTTTCAGTTTTTGTTGCTACCCCTAACAATGATGGTAGAAAATAATGGTCTAGCGTATTTGCAGTGGTTATGAGCTGAAGTGCATCAAAAAATCCAGTTGCAAAAAAAACAGTGGATATTTGTAGACTTATTTGCAGATGTTCATCTAAACAATCACACAATGAAAACCAATTTGACTAAGGCACTTCAAAGGTCAAGGCATTATTAGGAATGGCTCACGCCACTCCGGAAAATCAACACATGAAGCATAAGCAAGATATAAAGAGTCAGAGAATGAACGTCGGAAAAGACGAATCGTACTGTCAAAAGTTGATGGGAGTACAGGTGCCCACCATGATGAATACAGATCAGTGTGCTTTATCCTCCTGCTTCTGCTGTAAGTATCTACAGAGAAGTGTTATGAGATATTAGTAAGGGAGGAAAGTGAGACATAAACATCATGTGTTATAATATACGAATACATATGCATTGTAAGGCATCTTCTTAGACGATGTCTAGCTTCAACCAAAATAGAATACATAAGTGCATAATGCTATAAGCTACTCTAGTTACACATTCATGGGTTGGATTCGAACTTCTCTTCCCCAATCAAATAAAGGAATGGAAAGCAAATGCAAAAGAGTGGATGACTTGGAAAAAGGGCCAAGTACTAAATGACAGTGCAAAGAAACCAAAGCAATACATGATATGAGAGAATGGTGTACCAAAATACTAAATGCTAAATGATAAGGAAAACTCATCCAAATAAAAAAAACGAAAACAAATACTCCCTCCGTCCCGGTGCTCTTGTCCACTTATCCTTTTTGGTCAATCCCACTGTTTTTGTCCACCTTCCTTTTTTAGTATGGCTCAAAGATCCCTATTGTCCATTTTACCCCTCACAAGTCACCACCTTCAACACACACCCACACACTCTCTCTCTCTTCTTGAATGAAAGTTAGCCACAAATCATTCGGTGAAACCTCCTCCCATGAACTCTCTTCAACCTCTCTTTCATCTTCAATTCTCTTTTTTTTCAACCCTTGGTCAGCCCAGCATGTCATCTGGTGAAACCTCCTCTCTCAGTCCTCCGGTGAAACCTCTTCATTGTGGTGGTCTCAAGCAGAGTTTGATCTACCTGGTTCTTCCTCTTCATCATGATGGAGTTCGTCCCAGCCAATCCTTTGGTAAAACCTCCTCCACTGATGGTCAACAGATCGACAGATGCTTAAGTAAAAGGGCGTCTTTGGGTGAAGTTTCTATCACAATAAAGTTGAATTGCAAATTAACTGGGAATGGTTGATTTTTTCCACATCTGGAAATGATTGAATTCCCCCACCGCTGAAACCTCATCCGCATAAAGGCAGCACTTTTTTTACTTAGTTATGCAATACTCTGTAATTGACACCCAAACATAGGGGTAATTAGGGCATATGTCCCCTTACATCATTGTCATTGGTTCTTGCGCCAAAAAGAAACTGGACAAAAGACCAGGACAGAGGGAGTAAATCCAAATAAAAAGGGTTGGACTTGTGTGACCTGAATTTGTAAGTACACTCCCAAAATGCATCAATGTTAATCTGAAGGACAAAAGATTCTTAATTATTCTTTTTATAATAAATTTGGACGCCTTTATAAGGACATAGAGGAGAGGGGTGGTCATAAGCAAGTTTTTCGGCTAGCTAAGGCACGGGAGAGGAAAGCCTGAGATATAGATTTTGTGAGATACATGAAAGCCAACGATGGTAGAGTGTTGTTTGAGACTGCAGAGGTTGCTAATCGATAGGGGGAATACTTTTGTGGCCTCTTAAATGCGGGAGGAGATTTGAGGCTTGAACTAGGTGAGCTGGGAGACTTTGGGTATTGTCGGCGCATTAGTCATGAGAAGGTGGCTCGGGCCATCCGCGAATGCATAGTGGGAGAGCTTTGGGGCCACATGGGATTCCGGTAGAGTTTTTGAAGCATGTGGGTCGCGGTGGGTTGGCAAGGTTAACAAAGCTCTTCAATGTTATTTTTAGGACGCCTAGGATGCCTGACGAGTGGAAGGAGAGCTTGTTGGTCCCTTTGTTTAAAAGTAAGGGTGATATTCAAAGTTGCGAGAATTATAGGGGCATGAAACTACTTAGCCACACCATGAAGTTTGGGAATGAGTCATTAAGTATAGGCTGCGAAAGGGGGTGCGCATTTCCGAAAACCATTTTGGTTTCATGTTTAGAAGATCGAGGCCTTTCACCTCTTACGGAGGTTGGGCTAAGAAGAAGAATCTTCATATGGTGTTTATTGACCTTGAGAAGGCGAATGATATGATGCCAAGGGGAGGTCCTGTAGAGGTGTCTTGAGTCGAGAGGAATTCCGATCAATTACACTTGCGCAATCAAGGATATGTACGACGGGTCAAGGACTAGCTTAAAGAATGCCGGAGGTGACTCTGAGTCTTTCTCCGTAGAGGTGGGGTTACACCAGGGGTCAGCCTTTAGCCCTTTCTTGTTGGCGATAGACGTCCTATCGCAGGGAGTTCAAGAAGAGGTTTCGTGGTGCATGCTTTTTGCTGATTATATTGTGCTTATTGATGACACCCATGAGGGACTAAACGACAAGTTGGAACTCATCGGCGCCTTTCCCTGGAATCTAAAAGACTCATACTGAGTAGGACTAAGACTCAATACATGGAATGTCACAAAACCAAGAGTGGTAGAATTGATTCTCACCATGTGTCCAAGGTTGACAGGTTTTGGTATCTTGGCTCAATCATTGAGGCAGCTGGGGAGTTGGATGGGGATGTTGCGCATCGTGTGGGAGTGGCTTGAGCCAAGTGGATGTTGGCTTCAGGGGTTCTGTGCGATAAGAAGATTTCAATGCGATAAGAAGATTTCAACTGGGATGAAAGTTAAGTTCTACCGCTCCATAGTCAGACCAGCTATGCTATATAGCGTGGAGTGTTGGGCAGTTAAGAAAACCCACATTCATCGTTTGCATGCTGCAGAGATGCGAATGTTACAGTTGATGTATGGGCCTACGAGGTTGGATATGATTATAAATGAGGTTATCCGAGGTTGGATAGGAATCTGAATGAGGTTATCCAAGGTTGGGTGGGCATGGCACCTGTAGAAGATAAGCTGCGGGAAGCTAGGTTGAGGTGGTTTGGGCATGTGAGGCGGCGAGATGATGGCGCCCCAGTGCAAAGATGCGAGAGGCTTATGATGGTGGGTGGGAGTAGGGGAAGACCTAGAAAGAATTGGAAGGAAGTAAGTAGACAAAACTTAGGACCTCTTTCCCTTACAGAGGATATGACCTTAGATGAAAGCGTTTGGAGAGCTAGTATTAGAGTAGTTGGATAGGCACCTTGGACTTGGGGTAGTCTCATGTACTTGTTGTGTGCTTTATATGCCTTGTATGCTTGGTGCTCGTTCATTGCATTACTTTTCTTTCGTTAGCTCTACTTTGTTCCTTACCGGTATGTGTTATGTGTTTTGTCACTGCTTTATGTATCCCTGTGATTGATTTATCTATGCAGCTTGAGTCTGGGGTCTCTTAGAAATAGCCTCTCTGCTTTTGAGTAGGGGAAGGGTCTACATACACACACCCTCCCACACCCTACTCTCGTGGGATCCAACTGGGTTGTTGTTGTTGTTGGATTCCAAGCTTTGCAAGAATAATCCTATGCCCCTTAAACCCCACCCCAAGAGCCCTTGAGGAGTTAAATTGGGAATTCCTGTCCCTCAGATTCTTATGTAGCATATACGCTCCTGCACAAAACGACTCATCCCACACTGAAGTTTCTAATTGATTTCGCTGATTCGGTCAATGGTCATTGGTCAGCATCAGGTTGTCAGTCATTCCTAGTAAGTCCGAGTTTTTTCATATTGCCTCTGAAAGTGAGGCATCTGCAAATAATCTGCCAAGGAGCTTGCACCAGGGACTATAGGTTCAAAATTACCCCTAGAGCCCTAAAGGAGTTCAATTTGGAACTCCATTGTCCCTTGGATTCCTACGTAGCTTATACGCTCCTGCACAAAACGACTCATCCCGTACTGATTAGTCAGTTTCTAACTACAACAACCCAGTTGGATCCCACAGGATTTTGCACATACTCTAATTAATTTTGCTGATTCGGTCAATGGTCAACATCAAGTTCTCAGCCGCTTCAGATTCCTAGTAAATACGAGTTTGAATGTTGCCATTGAAAGTGAGGCATCAGGCATCCACAAATAATCTATTATGCCCATTGCTAAAACATTTCCTTATTGATCATGATCTGTTCTGCTCATTGCCAAAACATTGCATTCCAAGCATTCAATTTAATACAAGATGGAAGGATCATTATTTCTTCTTAGGCCATCCTCGCTAGAATGTCCGGAATGGAGCCGAAACCAACAAGATGCTTGAGATGTCCTATCTGCCATGTGAGGTTATTTTTAATAGGCAAATTAAATCTTAATCTTTAACCTTCTTTTTGGTTCTTGTTTTGTTCTATAAATGACTTTGAGATGTACTATAAATGACTTTGAAACTTTTGTGAATTACTTTAAGTGGCATTCCCTCCACGCCGGATAGACAGGATAGTGTTATCCTATTCTTTTGCACCTACGGAGTATTTTTTACTAAATGTTTTGGTATCAAAATATCTCATTTCAATGGGAAATTCCGGAATGACATCCAAAACCACAATGATTACCTCTTGGTGGACTACAAAAACATATAGGAACAGATTCTTTAACTCAACACCCTAGTTCCAATTGATAAATTTGATGACAAAAAACTTACAACATTAGAACAAGTAAAACACAAAACCGAGTTCCCTAAAAAGTATGTTTACAGATGCCTATGTAGTATCAAACCTGTGACAAAAACTATTCCTTCCGTCCCAATTTAGTTGTTCAATTTCTTCTTTTTATTTGTCTGAAGCTAGTTGTCCACTTTCCCATGTTCAATAAAGAAATTATAATGAATTGCCGAATAGTATCTTTAAGATAGGGTGGATCATTGTTGAAATGAATTAATGAGTAATGACAGTCATTTGAAGAATTTATTTGACATTTTAAACTCAAAGCATAAAAATGAGATTTGTTTTTATAAAGTGGATAACTAAATCCGTACAGAGGGAGTATACAGAAAGGCTATGTTTTTTTTACTTTCTCAAATAATAAATCTCTTTCTTTTTTATTTCATTTTCTCTGTAAAGAGCATACAAAATTGTGACAGCCACATGCACTCGCCAACTCTGCATCCCCACTTGATCTAACCATTACTGGTTACATACATTATCCACTACTGATTCATCCATCATTCAAAGTTGAATGAAATGAATCAGGTTCAATCATTTCGAGTGAAAATAATACTCCAAGAACATGTAAGACACCCTCACAATCAGAACTTACATGAATATTTTTTAAAACGAGACCGTGTTTCTAAAATTGTACTCCCTCCTACCAGATTTCGTTGTCCACTTTTTTATTTTCTTGCATCTAGAATTAATTGTCCACTTTTCATAATTAGTAAACAAATTATAGTGAATTATCTAAAATACCATGTAGATATCATATTAGCAGTTTGACATCAATGCACGATAAACCCATTTAAAGGACTTATTGATATTTCACTCGAACTCCTTATAGATGAAGTATTTTGGAAAGTAGAAAACTACATCCTGATGGAGGGAGTATTCACAAACCATCACCACATATTTCTCCCTTGCAAGTGGTGACACACCACAATAAATAAAATAGCAAGATGGTTGTCACTATATTAGTACTAATAATAATGCTTATCATATAAACACTAATAGTTTGTGTCTGCGCGTATCAGATCTTATCCGTTACTAGATTCATCTATCATCCATTAGCACCTGTGTTTCTATGGGCTTTCGGCCTTTCGCACAAATATTCAGGTAGGATGGTAAAGTTTTCCGTCAGTATGGGTAAAATTGGCATCCAGGAATTTCACTTTTTAGTTTCTGACAAATGTTCTATGAAAATGGAAAGTTCTTAGAACTTAGATAGCAAAAACCCTCCCCTCTCTACATCCCTGTCTCTTACTATCCCTCTCTCTATCCCTCCCTATCTCTTTCTATTTACTCCAGAATTATCCATCCATGTTCTACACTTCTACCTCGATTCCTAACATGCTTCTACAATTTCTTTTAAAAAGTAAATGATTATCATAATATTATGTAAATGCTTGTGCACAATGTGCAAATATGGGAGGTGGTCGATAGATTCTTATATGTATGCTGGAATTTGTCCATCCCTAATTTAACTTCTTACTTACCTTTTAGAAATGTCCCAAAATAAATTGCTCATTAATTTTAACGAATGAATATTGTGATTAATGTTGTTTCTCTCTCCTCTGCATAAATCTTAACCACACCATCTAACATTTTCTTACCCTACGTGATAAAGTAAAGGGGAACTTAAATTAGAGACGGATCCACAGAGGGAGTGTGATTTACTATGGTTTTCAAGGTACCAAGCTGGCTGCAATGTGTTACAGATATAACAACCTTATGGAAAAAGCTTTGGGATTTGGCTACAATTGCATTGAGCTTAACAACATCAGCTAGAATTTTAAAGATTGAGGATTTGCAAATTGAATTTTTTCATCAAAAGGCAAGGACCCTAAATTGAAAGTGGAAAAGAATTTACATCCAAAGCACTTACCCCTGACCCTTAGCCCAACGAGATAGTTGATACATCTGCACACACTCATTTGAAGCATGGCATGCCAAAAGTAGGTAGTTGCGAGGCTGAACCATCCATGCAAACCTCATAAACAGGGCAGAATATACACACATTGCTGCAACACCAATTAAATGTGAATATAAGGCTCTAAATCATAGAAGCTACACTTACTCTTCCTCTGATCCGGGGTTGTGATTTACATACCTGATGTCATGTTTCCAGATATCATTTCAGGAGGCTTCTGCGTGTCTACCAATCCCTGCAACACCCATTCAAACAATAAAGAAAAGCAGAATGAAGTAGCTTAAATTTGACTCAATTTTATCTTTGATGGAGTAACACACCGCTGCAACAAATCCCCAGTTCGCGACAGGACCCCAAAAATGAGTTGTTTTAGGGCCAACTGGGCTGTTCAAAAATGCTCTAAATGAAGCCATTAGGAGAGACTGTCCAATAGTACACAACTGTTAGAATTTAAAGCCGTAAACATATCAAAGAAAAAAAACAGCCATATACAAGAACAAAAACACAATTCAGAACAATCAGCAAGAATAATCAATGTGATGTGCAACCAAAGCAAAACTGTGGTGGAGTACTGGAGTACGTGTGTGTTCATCACAATGAAAGAAAAAAGGCCATTACAATAATATACATCTACCAGCGCAAAAGCTTCTTGGCTCAAAGAAGAGAATGAGATTGTGTCCCACAGGATACAGAATGCGAGATGAATCGCACGAAAATTTTAACTCAGTATATCTCCAAAATAAACCTTTTGGCTTCCCCTCATTTATCTTGTCACATTTGGACCAGAAAATCTCTAAGTTATTGAAGTTGACTGGGACGGAAACGAGAAACTAAACGGGAAAGAGCGTGAGGATAGGAAACAACTTAAAATATTTCACCGTAGGGGAACAGAAAGGATTTGGCAGCCCGCAAGAATCTAGTGGCCTCACAGCCATCAGGCGAAGAGGCTTGAGTTCACTCAACCCCTAGTAGACTAGTGCTGAGATTTTGACAGAGACCAGTTCCACATAATACGATTTAGAGAGTAGGAATAAGAAAATGATCTAATAGAACCTCTCCAACAATCCATTACTCGTGACTAGATGTCTATTTATGGAAAATGACTCTAAGTTCCACTCGCAATAACGTACTCTATTAGCTCCCATTAAGTGGAATACCTTACTCCAAAGTCCAAACCTCCCACTTATTAATTGGGTATAACTTACTTCACACTTAGGGCTTCTTCTCTTCACCTCATCTGATTGGTTTTTGATCTGATTGGAATATGTTCTAACCTGGTCTGATCTGGTCGGATTGTAGTTATATTTAAAGTTGTTTCTAATCTGATCCGATTTGATTCCAATAAGAATAACTAATAAGTAATAAGAATACGTTGAAGAGAACAAGCTCTTAGTGGTCTAAAAAATTATTAAATGATACAAAGTAAATAAATTGGCTCAAAAATTAATTACATGATACAATTAATAAAATACTATAGTATGACTTAATTAACCAAGCCATATTTCATGTACTCCCTCCGTCCTAGAGTATTCATTTGGTATTTCCTTCTGGACCATCCTAAAGTATTCGTCCACTTTATTTTTAAGACAAATAAGATAACATCAAAGATCTAGTATGCTCTCATCATTCAATATACACCCACTAGGCTACCACTCATTTAACACCCTCTCAAATGACTAATTACCCATTACTACAGTCATTCCAGATCTTTCCGTTCATTATTCATGCCCCCTCTCACTCACTCTGGAAATTGAGTTTGAAGATAGAGATCCTAACAAAATCATCTACGCTGAAGATGGTGCGCAGGTCTCCCCTGGCGACGAGTCACCCTTTTGTTTCCAGCAATGGAACCTTCTCTGTCCTTGACTCAGAAGAAAATCATTAATATGGAGATCTCTACGTACCAAACTCTGAAGATCTAGATCAGGATGATGAAAGCTTTCATTTTGATGTGGAATCTAAAGATCTAGAGGATGGAGTCGTGATTGTTCCTAACTCCCAAGATCCAGAGAAGCATTGTATGCTTTCTCCCAACTCTGAAGAATCAGAGGATGAAGGGCTTTCTATTGGCTACTCCATAGAATTGGAGGGTGGATACAATATGATTGTTCCTAACATTGAAGATGAAGATGAGCAAGGCTTGGAAATTCTTCCTGACGCCACAGATATGGAGAATGATGAACCGCAATATGCAAGATATCATGAAATTGAACACGGGGACCCTTTTAGGCATGCAGCTGCGCTACAGTATGACTCCAGTTTTGGGGAGTTACCGGCAGGGTACCATGACCCAATTACAAAGACCATGTTTGAGATCTACCTTCCACACTTTTCATTTAAGGGAAGCTTAAGGATGTTATGTGTTTGTGCTGCATTGTTCTAGCTCTTGAGTAAAAACTCATTGAATTTTGGGTCCTTTGCATGTTTGTGTAAAAACATTTCTAGTATATGATGAAGATGTCTTTTCAATTTTGTCTACTATTCTTGTTTCCGTGTGCTTATGTTTCTGGTCTATGATGAAGTTGTCTAGAGTAACCACCATTTTATGGTCTATGCTTATCATGAGTATAGAATTTTCACTCCATTTACTAAGTAACTGTTAATATGTCTTCAAACTTGTTTATATTATCATGCATGCAAACAAGGTTGTCCACCAAAAATAAGGGTAATTGTGTTATTTTATCTATTTATTCTCCTCACCATGGTCTTTGTGCAAAAAAAAAGCCAAACAAATGTTCTAATGCGAAGGGAGTACGACGACGACGACAACAACAACAAAACCAATGAAATCCCACAAGGTGTGTGTATGCAGACGTTAGACTATTTCCAAAAGATCCTCACCTTAATTATCATGCATGCAAACAAGGCTGTCCACCATAAGTAAGGGTAATTGTGTTGTTTTATCTATTTATTCTCCTCACTATGGTCTTTGTGCAACAAAAAAACCAAACAAATATTCTAATACGAAGGGAGAACGACAACAACAACAACAACAAAACCAGTGAAGTCCCACAAGGAAGGTGTGTGTATGCAGACGTTAGACTATTTCCAAGAGACCCTCACCTTAATCACAAGCACGTGAACAATAAAAATTAAACACAGAAGCACAAGCAAAATATTACCACAAGAAACATACATAGGGACACTAGCAACTTGATCCAAAACCATAGTTGTGAAAAGCATGCCTGAGGCACGCGCTCGAGGCGCGATGTGCACGAAGCACAGGGATCTGTGCATCAAACTTTGTGATGCGGGCGACATGCAGGAGGCGCGCGCATAACTTTGCATCATCGCATTATGCAATGCGATCTGATCCGCTACAAGGCGAGCATCACAAAAATGTTTTTTTAAAAAAACAATTCTTTAGTAGGTTAGTTGCTTGACTGCTTCCTAGTTTTTTTAAATGGCCAGGGGTCGCAGTTTTTTTTGGCTTCTCCTGGCAGTTTTGTTTCTTCCTTAGTTCCCTTTCATTAAAGTTTAGTCGCTTCTCACCTTTAATTTATTCAATTGCTTCAGTTTTTTTTATCGTGAGGCTTCCTTGTTTTTTCTTCTCATGAAAGTTTTGTTTCTTCCCATTCATACTCTTTAGTATGGAAGAATCTCCAAACTTGAATTGGAAAAAGAACAAAATTCTAGTGACCCCTAAGGAAGTATGCTTAGAGGGTCTCAAAAAATGAATAGGAATGACAATATTTGCCTATTTAATATGTATTGTTGCTCATTTAGAGATGCTATGCTACTTGACACTTGTGCCTACATATGCGCATCGTGTTCATGATGCGCGCGCATCAGATACGCTAGAAGCCCTTTACGCGTTGGTGCACATCGCGCCTTAAATAACTATGTCCAAAACATAGAAGGCACATAGCAGCTAAGGAAAAAAAAAACATAGCAGCAAAAATTACCAAGGCCCAAAGGTCTACCTCAATATTCTAATCCTAGATCTCCACGCTTTCAACACGGAGAGAGGATGCAGACGTTGGACTATTTCCCATAGATCCTTACCTCAATCACAAGCACATGAACACATAAAAAGTAAACACAGAAACACGAGCAAAGTACAAACACAAGATACATACATAGCAACACTAGCAAGTAGCAACTAGATCCAAAACATAGAAAGCACATAGCAGTTAAGGAAACAAAACATAGCAGCAACAACTACCAGCTAAGGCCCAAAGGTCTACCTCAGTATTCTAACCCTAGCTCTCCACGCTTTCAACAAGGAGGAAGTACTTAACTTATTGTGATCGCTCACTCAACCGAATGGTGGCTCAGCGGCTACACTCTTAAACATTAAATGTTACCAACCATTACAAATTTAGACAGCACTGGCCTACGAGACAAGAGCTACTGACCGAAAACTACTACATACAGAATGCTGTCTAATTAGACTGATTTTGGAACAACTGATCCCAGACCTATTTCATAGTCTCCGTTTAAAGCAGGGAAATATAAATCAGCAGAAAGATAATCATACAAAGCAATATTGAGGGACGGAGAATGTGCGAATTATAGGTATACAAAATAATACTCCTTACCTTACAGACGGTTCTTTAATATGTTACAGAGTAATTGTTTATGGAATTGGTCGGTCTGCGCAAAGAAGAGGGCAGAAGATGACTGCAGGAGTCCGATTGACGCAGCTCGTGATCAGGATGAGAGGTTCTCCGAACGGCTGATCTGCTTCAAAATTGGGCGGCGACGCAAAGCCTGGCAGCGTCAACGGTCCTATCGTTCCCGTCTGGCAACGGAAATTGGATGGCGTGATGTAATGATGCTGGTTGTGTCGGTCAAAGACGGCGGAAGACGATGGTGGCGAAAACTGATCAATTCTTTCAGATGGCAATGAGAATAGAATATGTGGCGATGGCACTGTACCTCTAGCATTGCTCTTCATTTTGACAAATAATGGAAGAATTGCATGACTAAAATATGTTTTATATACGGAGTATCAAACTAAGATTTTCAATGTTTTGTGTAAAAATATACGGAGTAATTTATAATGTTAAAGTGTGTCAATGTATAATATCCACATACAATATCAAACTACGATATTGCACAGTGTCAGTGGTTCTATTTAGGGATTAAAATAGAAAATTCTATTATACGGAGTACTACAAATTTAATATTTCCTTTATCTCTCGATAAATTACATTTTACACAAAATGAAATAAAATTCTAAATATTTTTAAATTTGGCATAAAAATATAAAATAAAACTTACATATTTAAAAAATACATAAAAAAAATTCAAAATAAGATGTGACAAGATTATTTTATTTTATCAAATAGCAAATAAAAATACATAAATAGATAAAAATTCCCGTAAATTTTAAATAGTGAAGAGTGTAAATCATTGTGGAGGGAGTATTTTAGTCATATTTGCGTAAATAAAAAGTTATCTCAAATAGTCTCATTTTTTTTCAATCTGCCAAAAATAATCTCATTTTTCACAGTTACGTTTATAAGCCATGCTTTTCAGGTGTAAGCGAGTTTTGGGTCACCCTTTGAAAGGTAATGGTGACGTAATGGGTTTTTTAAACCCTTATTTTATGCAAAAATAAAAGATGAGATTATTTGAGATAAATTATCATTTTCTAATTTTTAATTTTTTAAATTTATAATTTCTAACAGAGCGCTTTTGTCAGAGGTTTGTTCAACTTTATAAAAATGGTAAATTCTTTGGTAGGGATGGCAACGGGTCAAGTTTGATTCGAATATACTCTTACCTGAAATCGACCCGAAATTTGTATCAGATATTTTTTTATGGCCTAAACCCAAACCATCGGGTATAAATTCCTATCGAACCCAACTGACTAAATCAAAACCCGAAACCCCAACCAACCCGACAATTTGACAAAAACCTAAGCCTAACCCGACTTGAAAACCGATCGATCCGACCGACTCACACTACCAATGTCCTAATATATCAGTTTTTTGTAATGATTTTTATTAAAATAATGATAAAATAATAAATGCATGTAATGATATAATTACAATTCCAATACATAAAAAACATTTGAACATCCAAAGACATTATTAAAAAATCTTGCAATGGATTTCACCATTGCCCTCAGTGCATTGGATCTCAGTATCCTGCATCTACTGTTTTTTTATTTTTCACCGATTTTGTAATTTACATTTCGGTTTCTCAAATAATGGTGCCTTTCTGAATCAGTTGCTATTGCTAAAGACATTATAATGGGATCAAAGCATGCCCATCAGAACAGTAACAACGGACGGCGAAGTTAATTGCTCTTACTTCCAACAATCAGTTTTACCAAATACTCTATCCATTATCATAAACAATACATGGAAAATTTCATTATTTCTTATGAACAACTAACTATGTAATGAATCGGGAACCATAAAAGAGAAATCTGCAAATCGGGAAGAAGGCTACATATATAAATAAATAAAGATGTGTAATATGCTACTGAAATTCGAACCTATTATGATACTTGTTGGAGGAGGAGATAGGTTGTGTAGTTGTGCTCTGTATGGTCGCCGTCTCGCCAATACTCGGCCTCAGTGGAAGACCGAGACATAGTCTTCTAACGAACAGATTTTCAAGAGATCGGATTAGACCCAAGGTAAACAACATAAGCCACCATTATGGACGCCCCCCAATCTGAATTCGAGAAAACAGTGAGCTGCAACGGCGAATTAGCACGTAAGAAAAGCACATGAGAGAGAGCACCACTGATCGAGATACCGAAGCACACGTTTAGCCGCCTGCCAATGATTAAGTGTTGGAGCCTGCATATATTGAGACAATTTGTTCACCGCAAAGAAGACATCAGGGAGTATGCACGTGTGGCATGCATATATTGAGACCGTTTGGAGCATGCATGTATTGAGACAATTTGTTCTCGTAATACTTAAGCTTAATTAGCAAGTCCCCTTTAATTTTTCAAAATTGTAAGATGGCCTCAATCTCAATGCAAGCTTAATCACATACACTATAACTTCACTTATTATAATATTAGCTAAAACGGAGTAATATTTTATTTAATTACTTCTTATTATTTTACTTTTCATAAATAAGTTATTTCATTCGTTCAAATATCATTTTATTATTTATTATTTATTATTTAATTACTTCTCGTTGCAGATGTATGTAGGAGCGTTGCTCCAAACCGCGTAAACAATTCTTGTGCACTGTTTACTACTTTTACTTTATATTCTGTGTGTGTGCATGTGACGAAGAAGGTGTTATAGCACTTCGTCTGTTATTTGTTTTTGCAATAATGCTACAACATCTTCTACATCAATATGTTTGTTTGACCCGTTTGCGTAGATTCTTATTATTGGTGATTTCCGCTTCCCCCACGAACTTACATATATATATCTCGTGGTCGTATTATTTCTCCAAGGTGAAAAACAATAAATCCTCTTTGAAATTAGTTCATTGAATCGTATAATTCATCCATTAAATACTTTCCAAATCAAACCTCTCCCAAAAAATAAAGAATAAAAAAAAGAAAAATGAGTAAAACTTAATTACAATACCAAAATAAAAGCAACCTATTTCAATCCCTTAAGTAAAAGGGTAGTCAGAGTATGATGTAAGAATGATGATAGTGTAATATGACACTGTGATCAGTCAATCGAATGTAGACCACCGGTCAATGCATGTTGGCGACCGATGGCAACACCCTGGTGATCGGTGGTAGAGGATGGTAGTGTGGTAATGATAATGTACATGGTATTGACAATGTGAGAACGTAGTAACTGAGCCAGTGTGACAATGACAATATGAACTTATATTTTGGTCTTAAAAGATTGAAGACTTATTTTGGTTTTTTCATGTATATTTTAAAAATATCTATCATGTTGACAATTTTATAAAGAAAAATCTCTTTGGATAGGACAAAAAGTACTCCCTCCGTCCTAAAACTTTCTTCTCGGTTTGACTTTTCCCCATTTTTAATTTTTGGCTTTGACTTCAAATTTTACCCTCCATAAAAAAGATTTTTTGAAAATTTGTTTTTGCAATCATTCAAAATATAGACTTAGAAGATAATTGGTGTAAATACATGAAGGTATTAATATCATTTGTCATCTTTTTTTCTAATGAAAAGGTAGTTTTAGGACGGAGAAAAATGGGAAGTTGGAAGAAAGTTTTAGGACGGAGAGAGTGAAAATGCCAAAATAAGAGTCTCAAGTAGATTAAAACAAAAATAGGAGTATAATGGTAGTGTAGTGTAAGAGTACAGGTTGACCATGTGATGGAAAAGTGATGAGAGCTGCGGCGGGTGGCCGGCGGTGTGGCGACGATAGTGTGATAATTACAATGTGACAATGTGGTATTGTGGCAGTGTAGCAATGGTAGTTTGAACTCCTATTTTGTTTTATAAGACTTTTGACTCATATTTTGATATTTTTATAGTTTTTTATTCTTATTTAAAGAGTTCTTCCAATTTTATATACATAGAGAAAGTAACAAAATAACATTTTTATGTTTTTAACCTTAAAAAAGGGCTACTGTCATAGTTCTCATATAACAATTTGACGAATTGTATATTACTATTTCATAGTATTATACTCCCTCCGTTTGGAAAAACCATTCCCATTTGATTTGGGGGCAAAAATAAGGAAGTGTTAAATTATACTCCCTCCGTCCCTAAATGGATTACAATTTTTTTTCTCTCTCCTCTCGATAACTTTTGTTTGTTTACGCGATTTCATTAGGTATTTGATAAAATAAAATATTCTTGTCACCTCTTGTTTTGTAGAACTTTTCACGTAGTTTTTTAATATGTAATTTTTATATCTTATTAATATACCAATTTGTAAATAAAATGATTTCAAAAAGTAGGAAATTTTACTCCGTAACCCGCAATTTGTAATCAAATTGGGGACGGAGGGAGTAGTTGATTTCCAATTTTGCCCCTGATGTGATGGGTAAAAGTTAGATGTGATGGGTAAAAGTTAGATGTGATGGATAGATTATTAGAGAAAAAGTATGATGTGATAGGTAGGGTATGAAAAAGTAAGGATAAAAGTGCTTTTTTTATAGAAAGGGGAAGTGTTTTGTTGGAAGTGGAAAAAATGAAAGAGGAAGTGTTTTTGAGAACGGAGGAAGTACGTTTTATATGTTGATATTAGAACTCTTATTTTAAAAATAAAAATATAAAAATCATATTTAATATGTTTTCATTTTTTACTTCTAATTTATTTTTTTAACTCATAAGTCTTATCCAAAAAAGTTATCTCGAACAAAAATTATTAAACCAAACTGAGGATTATTATTAAGGAATTTGTTAGGAGTATCCAAGGCACTATAATCTCATGTCTAGGGTTTTCTTATTAGTAATTCACACCTAATTTGAGTACTTTCCTCCGGGCATATTTTTACCAAGAGCGAGGACTGCATCATCCCACCGGAAAATATGCTCAAATACCTTGCCGGTTCCGCCGGTCCGAGCGGCTTCGGCTCCAAGTCCACCGCCGAGGAGGTCACCGAGAACTGTCCCCATCTTCGCTCCATCACTGCCATCATCACAGGTACATATAATTATTGCGCAGTCCGATCCACACACATTAACGCGGCGGCGCGGCCGCCTAAGTTGTTACGTTGCGGCGGCGCAAAAGGTGGCTGCCTCGGCGGCTGGCGTGGCTGACGAGCCTTGTAATAAACCTGCAGGTGCAACGTCCGGAATCGGAGCCGAGACGGCTCGTGTTTTAGCGAAGCGGGGCGTACGGCTAGTGCTTCCCGCTCGCGACGTGAAAGTTGCTGAGGAGACTAAGGCCCGGATCCTCTTGGAGTCGCCGGAGGCCGAGATCGTGGTGGCGCCGCCTCTCGATCTCAGTTCGCTCCGTTCTGTCCGGAACTTTGTGGCACATTTCGAATCTCTGAACCTGCCTCTCAATCTCCTAATGTACGTTCATTCCTTACGTTTTTTTCTCTTCAACACTTATTCAATGAACATATAAGTAATCGTTTTTTAAAATCTAATTTTTTTAAATTGTACTCCCTCCGTCCCCATAGATGTTCCCATTAGCCTTTTTTATTTGTCCCACATAGATCTTCTCATTACCTTTTTTAATAATTAAAATACCACAACTACCCTCACTTACTTTATTTATTACACCTTTTTCACCTTATTTAATACACCCCACCCATTTTCATTAAAGGTATTTTGGTAAATTTTCACCTTTTTTCAACTCTCCTTAAAAACCGCAAAAAGTCAAAACGAGAAGATCTTAGGGGGACGGAGGGAGTATTTATATACTCGTCTCGTAAAATGGTTCCTATTATAATTTTTAAAAGAAATAAAGAATGTGTTTTTGTGGTTAACTTTTTAATTTTATCTTTGATGTGATGGGTAAAAGTAAATCTGATGTATAGATTATTAGTGAAAAAGTAGGATGCGATAGATATGGTAAGAAAAAATAGGGGTAAAAGTGGTTTTTAATTGGAAAATAGAAGTGTTTTGGGGAAAACAAAAAAATGAAAGAAGAAATACTTTAAAAAACGAAGGGAATATTAAAAATTATAAAAGAAATATTTGTACTAAATAGCAATAAAACTTAAGTCATTTCCCTAAATAGTACTTAAATTGTTTTATTCCCTAAATAACAATTAATAATGTCCGGTGAACTTCTCCCCTGGCTTGAGTGGTAGCAAGCCCACTCCCCAAGATTCATGGAGAAGTTCACCCAGGTTCGAGCCCCAGCGAAAGCAGCAGCATTGGCTCTTTGTGCGTCATTAGTCATTAGCTTGAGAATAGTATGAACAGATATTACCTTGTAATAGAGTCAATAGCATTCAAAAAAAAATTAATAATGTCCGGTGATGACAAATATTTACTTGAATAACGACTAATGCATAATGACTAAAAGTGCTACATTGGGAAGAAAAACACATATAATGCTATTTATGGAAATTCATTATGTTTTAGTGCTATTTAAGTCCAAATAATATTCACATTTTTTTAGTCTGTTCATTTTTTTTGTAGAGATCTATTTTAGTATTTTGACTTTTTAATTATATCCTTAACATCGAAGAAAAAAAGTGATAAATCCTTTAAATAATTTATTTTATCTATACATATTGAAAGGAGTTTTTTTACAATGGATATACTCCGTATTAGCTTACCGATCCATTCGTTACTATTTTTTAAAAGGAACTATTTTATTAAAAGGAGTACATAAAAGAGGAACTATTTTTAATTAAATACGAAAAAAATTACTTCTGTCCTTATTAATTTTTATTTTGCCTATTATTTATTACTAATCTACCAATGACATTCTATTTTTACTTATTACGTTCATGTAAGGGGAATTTGTCAAAGTCAAAAGAAAAACATCTCTAATTAAAATAGGAAATATTGAGACAATAGTTAGTATTTAGAATAATGCTGGGTTCACAAATAAAATGGTCACAAACTTTATAAATTTACCATTTGTGATTTAATTCGTAACATTTTCTTTTTCATTACAATACATTTGTTAGATTTTATGAAGTCAAACATCAATATTTATTTTAAGACAAGAAGAAATTAAATACGGAGTGTGTTATATCAAAACTGTACTCTATAAACTTAAAAAATATCGTAATATTAAATGGATAGTGATACACATTTTACAGTACCATAAAAATACTGCTCTGTAAAAGGAAACAAAGTTATACCCGAGTAAAGAAAATCATTTTGATGAAGGAAATACTCAACACCATTTAATGTCACAATGTATTACCATACATGGAATATTTAATTATTTATATATATGTGTTGGACTTTATAAAAAAAGTGAAATCCGAAATTAGGAGTCCATAAAAAATACTCCCTCCGTCCCTTTAAACATGAGATATTTTGATTTTAAAGAGATTTAAAGGAATTGTATTTTGGTATTGAATTTCCAAAAATTTCTTTTGTTGTGATAGGAAAAGTAAGATTTGATGGGTAGATTATTAGTAAAAAGGTATGATGTAATAGGTAGGGTATGAAAAAATAAGGGGTAAAAGTGACTTTTTAATAGAAATAAGAAGTGTTTTTTGGGACGGATGAAAAAAAATTAAAGGAGAAATATTTTCAGGGACGGAGGGAGTATTTGAGAATGTTCATATTTTACATGACAACTTTATGATCATAATAGGAGAGCTCATAATTCGTACTCTCTTCGTCTCCAAGTTGATTTTACACTTTTCAATTTCAAACGTATAAATAAATTATATACTCATCTATTTTGTCTTTTAAGAGATCAATAAGTACTATATTCGTCCCAAAATGATTTATCTCTTTATTATTGCAGTCTCTCAACAATTTTTGTTTATTTGCATGTTTTCATTGATTATTTGATAAAATAAAATATTATTATCACATCTTGTGTTTAAATTTTTTCTTTCTCTTTCTTTGGTTGTCATTTGATAAAATAAAATAATCATGTGACTATTAATTTTGTAACCATAAAATACTAGATCTTTTGATGTAGTATTTTAATATGTAATTTTTATTTTTTAGTTCTACACAATTTTTATATAAAATGATTTGAAAATAATAATGTCAGTCAAATATTATAAACCGAAACAAGCAATTTTAATTGGTACGTAGGGAGTAAAACCTTTGGTGCACTTTCTTAATATATACGAAGTAATTTTTATTTTTAAAATTCCAAATTGGATAAACAATTACTACCTCCGTCCCACTCTTTTTGTCCACATTTGACTGTTGGAACTGTTCATCTAAGCACTTTGACTCGTCAAATTCTCTCAATGTGTAAGCCTAAATATAGTCATGTGCAATCTTGTTTGATTTATCTTAACATATAGATTATTAATATATAATTTCTATAATTTTTTAATATACAAATTACAAGATAAAATAGATTAAAGAAGTACATTGGATGGTGTGCCAAAAGGTAAGTGGACAAAGAGAGTGGGACAGAGGGAGTATTAATTTATAAGCTACTTATTACTCCCTCCGTCCGAAAATATTTTTCCCATTTTCCTTTTTGATCCGTCCGGAAATAATCTTCCCATTTCCTTTTTTAGTATGCTTTTTAAAGCTAAATATCAATAATACCCTTCTATTTTATCACAAATCTACTTTTTTAATACTTTTTAATAATAAAAGGAGATTTAAAAGTTTATAGTATGTGCATTTTTGAAAATTTTGTATTTTTTTTACTATTCCTTAATAAGCGTGCCAAGTCAACATGGGAAGAACATTTACGGACGGAGGGAGTATTTAAGAGGGTGTTTGTGAGTGCGGTGAGTTTTAAAAAAGTAGATCTGCTAAATCAGAAGTAGAAAACAGTTACTCTAAGCTTTGGTGAAAATCACTTCTAGAGCATAATTCATACTTTTGAAATCATAATTCATAATCTAAAGCTGATTGGAAAATACTTAAAAATGTGTTTCAATGAAATAGAAGCTCAAAAGCTATTTGCAAACACACTCTCAAACATCCTCTAAATATTCTTTCGTAGAAGTAAAATGATTTAAATGAGAGATAATCAATTTGGGAATATTCACAAAACGTGAGAGATAATTTTGTATACTAGTCAAAACAAAAAAAAAACTTAAAAATAAGCATGTAAGACATACTTATTTTTTCTAATTTATAAACAGCTAATTAGTCAACTTATAAACATAGAGAAATATGTCATCAGATAACGTACAAGTTAAAAATCATTTATAAATAATTTAAGTTAGCTTATAAACACAAAGGAACACTTGCAAAGTATAAAGTCACATACTTGTACTTGTTACGGGGCATTCAATTCGTGAATCTAATTAAAAGATAAAATGTTCTAATTGCAAACTATGGAGTACTTAGTAGTTAATACTCCCTCCGTTTGGAAAAAGCCTTCCCACTTTGACTATAAGGCAAATTAAGGAAGTGTAAAATTATAGTTAATTTCCAATTTTACCCCTGATGTGATGGGTAAAAGTAAGATGTGATGGATTTATTATTAGAGAAAAAAGTATGATGTGATAGGTAGGGTATGAAAAAGTAAGGGTAAAAGTGGTTTTTTTTATAGAAAGGGGAAGTGTTTTGTTGGAAGTGGAAAAAATGAAAGAGGAAGTGTTTTTGAGAACGGAGTAAAGTACTCATTTGCTTCTAACGTCTCAAAATCAAGTTGATACTTTAATTTCATGAAATTTAAAAACATGTTGATGAAAATTAAAATATTTTATAATCAGTGGTTAAATGTCATTTAAAGAGATTTCAACGCGCAATATTTCATATATATATATATATATATATATATATATATATATATACACACACACACACATACATATATATATATATACATACATACATACATACATATATATATATATATATACATATATATACATATATATATATATATACATATATATACACACACACACACATACACACCAGTTAAATTTGAATGTCGCGAAGTTTTTTTCTTTAATTTACGTACGGAGTATTTTGTTAAACATCATGCCAAGGCTATTAAAGTATGTAGAAACAATGCCGGGAAATTCGCGTACAAGTATTGTGTATCAGAGGACGGCATCGAGATGACGTTTGCAACGAACTATTTGGGCCATTTCCTTCTGACGGAGCTGTTGCTGGGAAAGATAGTTGACACGGCCAAGGCTACCGGAATACAGGGGAGGATCGTCAACGTGTCGTCCGGAACCTACGACTGGTTTTCTGACGACATTCTCGCTTACTTCCGAGATGTAACCACGAACCCAAGGTGAATATTTTTTTTCTACGTCCTCACCTTCTCCCTAAATTATTTATCCTAGCTAGTTTGATTTTCATGTTAATTTTATCATAAATCATGAGAAAAATATATACTTAATTAAAATATGGAGTATAAATTTAAGATGTAAGATGTTGTTTTGATATTTTAATTTTTGTTTAATTTTAAAATCTCATTGATTATTTGATAAAATAAAATATTTTTGTCACCTTTTGTTTTGTAAAAAATTTTATGCAATTTTTAAATGTATAAGTCTTATTTTTTATTTCTATATCAACTTTTAAATAAATTAATTTGAAAATTGAAAGTTCATTTTCTTTTGAATAAAGTACCAAACATTTTGGGTCGGAAGAAATAATTGAGACATATTTTTGTGCATGGAGATTGAGATTTATGTGTACCGATTTGGTGCAGTCATTACGATGCGACACGTGCATATGCTCTCTCAAAGCTCGCCACCTTTCTCTACACCAAAGAACTTGCCCAGAGGCTCGAAGTAAGTTGCCTACTCATTTTATCAAGGGTTGTCCTAGACTTACATTAAGATTTATACATTATTTATGTATCAAATATATTAGATAGACCCATACGCAATAACTATTTGTGCAGTGAGACAACAACAATCTGTACATTGAGATAGATAATTGTTATATGTGTCTCTGACTGTCTGTTATATACTTGGTACGGTGTAGTGTATACTAAATTTGGTGTGTGTCAGTAAATATTACACAAAATATTTGGTTAATTGCATATATGAACTAAATTGTATATGAATGTCTATTCATTTTAATAGAATTTTGTATAATTCAAAAATTTAGGAGTATTGTATTTAGACTTTTTCAAATTGATGAAGGCGCGCGGCGAGGCAAACCAGAGGAAGAGACTTTAGTGCCAATTGAAGCATAAGAGTGGACCGATTCGTTTTGATTGTCGTCGCTCTAAGACATAACTACCCTACCGTGTTACCTAAGGGCCAAGAGAGGGAAGGAGGACTAATAAGAAGACCCGAAGGAATGAAAATGAACTAATTTGGATTCACCCACTCTAATCTCTGGAATTCCAAATACAAAGTGGCCGGGGAAAATGGGCGAGAAGCCCCCCCCCGATATATCAAACTTACAACCCTCGAACACCTATCGATACGCGAAAACATGGCGAGGGTAATGGTGTATTTCCATCATTACATGGAGTAAGGAAACAATGCAATGGATGGAATAATGGCTTCATCAAAACTTAATCCCTTGGCATTTTGATGGCTAAAGTTGGGTGAATCCTAGGGAATATGGGACCGTTGAAAATTCAACTTCTCACCCTTGATAGTTCCCATAAGGCCAAAAGTGGAGGACTCCTTGAAGGGTATAAACCCATGACTATCATGTTTGCACTCATACGGGTTGTAGCTAGATAGATGTACCATACCAAGCATAGATAACAAACCAGTCAGAAAGGATTTACCTAGCCATGACCGGTCAAAGGGTAATTTGATCGGTAGGTGGTTGACCCGAGGGAGACACAACAACCACTTAGTAAGGCATGACCCTACCTCGAGTGCATAGACCAGATAGAAGATCATGTGCGACTGACAAGGGTGGGTAACAAATGATGGACAAGACGAGTGACCCGCGATACCTACCCTGTTGTGGAAAATCTAGAGGTTTGTAAGCCTTACAAACAATAGGGAAGTGGCTACAGTTGACTCGGCCCCTTGCATTGTACTTGAGTCATCATGGTGCCACTATAGTAGACCTGACGACACAATGACTACAGTATATTGTAATAGTTCCAATTTCCCTATAAATATCAATGTAAACCCTCTTGGAAGAGGGGCAATTTTCGGAGAGAACTTGAGAGATAGATGTGCTATATCTTTGTATTCTATAAATCTATAATAACAATCGAGATATACATGTTTCTAACTACAATCCTTCTGATACCTTGAGTGTGTATGATCAATTCACTCCCGACCTGGTCCATCGTAGTGAACTTTTTCTAGCTAATTCACTTTATCAAGAGTTATTTTCCAAAATGGTCATTCTAATAAAATGGTTTCCCAAATCATTCATCAATAAGCAATAATTATTCAAATGATAATTCATACTTGATATATTTTTCTCTCGGTATGTAGTCCTCAATATAATTAACAGAAGTTACCTACATAGTATTTTATAATCAAAAAATTTTTTCACGATAGCCTCTGACAATTGAGGTAATATTATAATTATAATTTATAACCTTATAGGGGTGATTTGAGAAAACATTTAATTAGAAATAATATGTTGAGAACTTCATCATAGTGTACATGATGAAAACTACTCAAGTACACTTAATAGCCACTTGATGGACACATTTTAGGGAGGATTACCAAAAGAATAAATCTCAATTTTAAAGTACCACGTAGGTAATTATTGCTTATTAAGGATTGATTTGGTAAAACATCATATTATAGAGAACCATTTTGAGAACTTACTCTCCTATCAATGAAATATATGATTTCCTCTTTTGTGTGAAAAATGTTGCAGCAAAAGCAGGCAAATGTGACTGTAAATTGTGTTCACCCAGGGGTTGTGAAGACTAGACTTAATCGCGAACGCGAAGGGTTCTTCACAAGTAACTAACTAATAAATGTCTTCTTTCAATAAATATATAGCTTAATCCTTTTTTTGTTACTCCATGTATTATATACATTGTATATATTCATGAAATTTATAATTCTTGCAATGTATGTAATGTAGATTTGGTGTTCTTTTTGGCTTCTAAATTTTTGAAGACAGTTTCTCAGGTAATTACACGTTTTCTTCAACAAATTTGCTTAGAAAATTTATGGATCAACAAGTTGAACAACTATATTGTGATGGAGTCCGCAATAGTAACTAATTACTTGTATCCGTGTAGGGTGCGTCAACAACGTGCTACGTTGCAACTGATCCAAGGCTGGAAAATGTAAGTGGGAAATTTTTTGTAGACTGCAACATGGTTTCTGCTTCAAAAGTGGGTATTAATTTGACAAAAAATGCAAGGCTATGCCGGGATTCTTATCTGCTCATTTCATGCCATTTATGTCAACGCAATTTCCATCCATTCCAAACATTGGAGTTCAAATAAATGTTAAAATAATACCATATATCGATGACTAGTTACCAAAATGAAACAAAGAGAGGGGGTTCAAACATATTTTAAACATATTAACACACACACACATATTATGCATTGAATTGAAAAACAAATACTCCGTATATGAGTAAACCAAATATTATTTCATCTATTTATAAATAAACAATGTATGATGTTTGACTAAAGTTATAATCAATTTAGTTTACTTGAGTTGTGCCATTAAATAAAAAATAAAATTTACATATTAAAAAAAGTTTATAAAATAAAAATTGATTTGACTTTTAAAACTAATTCACCCAGTATTTAAAATATATGTGTAAATAAAATATTTGTATGATATGTACTCCATATTTTTCAAATTTATTTCAAAAAAGTTTTGTAATTGAAGAATATTTAGAGCCTGTTATTTAGGGCATAAACTCTTAACTTCTAGTTCTTTCAAGATTTTTCTAGTTATTTCCAGTTTCTTTAAGGTTATTCAAATTCTTCCAATTTCTTCTCGTTCCTTCTAATTCTTTCTATGTTCATCCAACAATTCTAATTTTTTTCAAATACCTTTTTACTCCCCAACTAATTATTCTTAGAATGATATATTTTTATTTTTATTATTATAATTATTATTTATATTATTATTATTATTATTATTATGATTATTATGATTATTATTATTATTATTTATTATAGTTATAATGTTCATAGCTATAGTTTATAAATTATTACTCCCTCCGTTTGGAAAAAGTGTTCCTCTTTTGACTTTGTGTAAAAATAAGGAAGTATTAAATTGTACGGAGTAATTGACTTCCAATTTTGCCATTGATGTGATAGGTAAAAGTAAGATGTGATGGATAGTTTATTAGAGATAAAGTATGATGTGATAGGTAGGGTATGAAAAAGTAAGGGTAAAAGTGGTTTTTAATAGAAAGTGGAAGTGTTTTGTTGGAAGTGAAAAAAAATGAAAGAGGAAGTGTTTTTGAGAACGGGGGGAGTATTATTTTTTATCTCACTATTTTTACGATTCACATTCATTATTTTTTTTCAACCTTTTAATATGAATAAGACAAATTTTTTGTATATTGAGTGACATGATAAAATATAAAAACATCAATTTTTTAAACTATATTAAAATATTATGGATAAAATAGTTACTTAGAATTTTTTTTATTAATCTAACTTTATGTAAGACCCTTCACCTTTTTCTTTATTACTCAATTTTTTCTCATTTTTATTTATTTTAAAATTAAATTTTGTTTTTTATTTTTCTGATTTTTATAAAAATAAATTGAAAGTCAAAAGAGTATAGAGGAAAAGACTAAAATAGAAGTAAACATAAAAAATGTACAAATTAAAAATAAAAGTTCTTTTCTTTATTCCAAAAATAGGAGTTGCAATGAAAATAAAATGACAATCATGAAAGAAAGATAGGTTTGATTACATTATGTGACATGCATGTATGATATTTAAAATAAAATCTTGTAATATACCAAATATAATTACAAATATATTATTTTATAATAAACACTGCATAAATAAATCAAGGTACAACATAACCACAATAACTTGTAAAATTTAACAACTTGATATTTATGCTAACTTTATATTATAATTATTCATTTTCTCCTAAAGTAGTTTTTTTGTATGAAAAACAATAATATTTTATATCTTAAAGGCATTCATTAAGATAACGTGATGATGATGACCATGATAATGATAATAATAATAATAGTAATAGTAATACTAATCTAATAAGAATAATAATAATGATAATAACAACAACAACAACAACAATAACAACAACAACAACAACAACAACAACAACAACAATAATAATAATAATAATAATAATTTATAACAAGAATTAAAATGAGAATAATATAAAAATACACTAAAATAAATTTTTTAAAAGTTTGTGAAGTTTCTTTCAGTTTTTTCCAGTTCCTTCTGTTTTCAAGTTTTTTCTAGTTTCTTCAAGATTTTTCCAGTTTCTTGTACTTTCTTACAGTTTCTGCCAACATCTAGCTATTTTTCCAGTCCTAAAGAATAGATTCTTAATAAGATTAGCAAAAAGTTGATACCACATATTGTAGCTGAGATGGTATCTAGCGCACAATTCACCCTTAACTTTATTGTGGGAAAGTTCCCATAACATTGATTATCAATGTCATGAAAAGAGTTGAGAGTCTTATGATGTGCCTTTCGTAAAATTGATAGTTCCTACCCCGTAACCCTAAACAAATCTCCCCACTTGCCCCGAAACCCCTACCCCTTCAATTGTATTATTGTACCCTTCAATTTATTTTATTTTGGAGTCAAAAATTTGACTCCAAAGTCAAATAAACTTGTAGTGTAATTAAAAGAGGTGTGGGGTTTGGTTTGGATCGGGGTGGGGTGGTCGGTTTGTCGAGGCAGAATTCGCCAATTTTACAAATGAGACATCGTAAGACTCTTAGGTCATCCGATTAGCAATTAGTTAGTACGGAGTACATGAAATAATGAAAGAAATGTTTTTAGGCCCTGTTCTTTTAGTTTAGAATTTCAAAGTTGGATATTGTAAGAAATTGGAAGGAGTTTGAAGAAATTGGATGGAATTAAAAAAACAAGGAGTTGGAAAATTTGGAAAAATTAAAGTGTTAAAAAATGCACTCAATTAAATTATCATCCAAATAACTATGTAAGGAAACTCTAATTTTGGATAATAAAAAAATCATCTTTGTACGTGTCTCAGGTGGTATGTTATAAATTTGGATATATAATATCATTGTATATTTATCATATAAAATGTTTTTTAAGTCATTATTAAAGAAACTGGAAGAAGTTGAAAGAAACTATAACACATTAAAAGGAACACGAAAAAAAGTTGAAAGTCAATTTCTCCAACTCAGAGCACTGGTAGTACTCGTAACGCCCGGGGGCGTGAGGGGGCGTTTAACGCCTCGGAGGCGTCAAACACCACCCCCCGGCGGCGTTAGACGGGCGTCATCGCCAGCCCGTCATTCGTTTGACGCTGGCTCGGCCCTTCGTCATCCCCCCCAATGGCTCCAAGCCCTCCAACGGCTATTT